AAAAAAAAAAAGTTTCCTTTTTTATACTATCCTTGTCTACTTTTGGCATGAAAGTTATACTAGTTATACAAGATGAATTGTCTTTGAGCAGGGAAGGTATACTCATTTGTCTAATCACTGCAAGAGTTTTATACGTGTTATGTTTGGAATTATATCTTCCATACAGATAAAACCATTTAGTCCAGGGTAATTTATTTTTTGTTTTAGAAGGTGGAAAATTTAAACTACTAAGTCAATTAAAGGACGTGCATTCTTGCCCTCTTACTGAGTTTTACAAACTTTTTGTAGCAAATTGTCTATTTCAACTAGTTTTTAATTTTATTGGCATAATTTTATTTTATTTATTTAATTTTATTAGATTTCTGATATCTACTGTGTCTGTACTTCCCCTTTCTAATTCCTACCATGATTCTGGGCTTTTATTTATCTTGATTGTCTCATGAATGAAGGTCTTTATAATTATATTCTGAGATGTAACTTTTGGCTCTGTTGATACTTTCTGTGGAATCTTCATTTTCTATTTCATTAATTTCTACTCTTACTTTACTGTTCTTTCTTCCTACAGTTTTGGTTTCTATTGCTCTTTTCTTTCCCAACAGTACAGCTGATTAATTTTTTTTAAATGGAGCTATAATTCACATACTATAAAATTCACCATTTTTATTAAAGTATAAAACTCAAAAAAATAAATAAGTAAAATAAATAAAAAATAAATGATTCTTTTGCCAGCTCAGATCTGCTGGTTAAAAACATAAACAAAGTGTAAAATTCAGTGGGTTTGTTTTAGCTTTTAAGTATTTTTTATCTTTTTATTGTGATAAAATATACACAACATAAAATTGGCCATTTTAAGTTATACAATTCAGTGTCATTAAGTACACTGGCCACATTAAGTACAGTGGCATTCACAATATTGTGCAACCATCACCACCATTTCTACAACTATTTCATCATCCCAAATAGAAACTCTGTACCCCCAAAATGATAACTTCCCATTCCTCTCTCTCCATAGCCATAATAATCTCTATTCTACTTTCTGCTTGGATGAAATTGTCTATTCTATATACCTCATATAAGCACAATATTTGTCCTTTTGTGTCCGGCTTATTTCATTTAGTATAACACTTTCAATTTTCATCTATGTTGTGCCATGTATCAGAATTCCATTTCTTTTTTTTTTTTGGAGATAGGGTCTTGATCTGTCTCCCACCCTAGACTGCTGTGGCATCATTATAGTTCACTACAACCTCAAACTCTTAAGCTCAAGCAACCCTCCTGCCTCAGCCTCCCAAGTAGCTGGGATTACTCATGCAAAGCATCACATGTGGCTAATTTTTCTATTTTTTTGTAGAGACAGGGTCTCCCTGTTGCTTAGGCTGGTCTAGAACTCTTGAGGTCAAAAGATTCTCCCACCCTGACCTCCCAGAGTGCTAGGGTTACAGGCATAAGCCACGGCACC